TCTCCCCGCATTAAACCCTCGGCCTGAACTTCCGAGCCTTCTTTCGTACTGCCCGTATCCGGGGCACTTGCCACCGGGCAGATGCGCTACGGCTCCTACACTCCTGCTCCACCTTGCACGTGTGCCCGCAGCCTGCTCCTGGCACCGGCAAGCTCTCCTTGGTTCACACTGCAGGCGACTGAATCACACCCAGGTTTTTAAGATGAGTTTAAAGAAGTCCTTGCTATCGCCCCACATTCCAGTTCTGTTTATTCACAGCTAGGGATAGTTCCTGGTAAACCTGCAAAAAGCAACTCCCTCAACAGCAGCCTCACCCGCCCTCTGGCGAGGCCTCTGCAGCAGCACCATGCCAGATCCAACACAGGCAGGAGGGAGGCCACCAAACACGCTGCCCACAGCCTCTACAGCTGCATTTCTCCTTCCAGTGGCAAGCTTGCAAGGCAGCTTGCCAGGGCCTGTGCTACAACAGCTACAGCTGCTGCCAGAAGAATTGTGAGCTACTCCTTTGTTACAAGTGGAATGTTACATAACAGAACACCCATGCTTGGCCTTAACTATCTTGAACTACACATTCTCTAAAAGTGTGATTTCACTCATTTTAGTGGATTTACACAGTCCAAGCTAGTGTAGCACAGTTCAGCTCTCTGGTTACTTCAGAGATAAGAACTTCCAAGTTTTCACTATCTCACTCATACCCCTTCTATTACAGGGCTCCGTAACAACACAAGCAGAGCAGACAGCACAGGAGGAGGCACACAGAGAGCCATATTGACAGCACACCTGCACCACCAACACCTGCAGGAACACCCCTTCAGCAACTCACCAGCTCCTACTGAACCCAACTTCCCTGGAGGATGACCAGCTACAGCAACCTGAGGACTTGGCTCTAATTGCCAAAAGTTGATTCAGGCAGTCTTACACAGGCAAAAATGACACATGCTTCCTAACATTGTCACGAAAGTCTAGGTTGGTTAAGTCCCTCTTGAGTAAACTTGACTCCAGCTGCCAAGTAGGAAAAGATCAGCTGAAACTTGATTCTTTACTTTCATTAGCAACCAGCTGAAAGCCTGAAGTGCTGTTCACTTCCCTGCCACTGGCAGCAATGAAGACAGGCCAGAATTGTTCATTTTGCTACTGTTCTGCTCTACTCACCTGCATTTGAACAACTGTTATTAGCAATGTTCTCTAAAAGCCAAACTTTACAAACCAACTTACATATAAATGATTGAAATTCTTGCAGAACATACAGAAAACCTCTGTTCCAACTGTGAAGGATGAACATATGACTATATATACAGGTAATGGTAATTTTTATGCACAACTAGTACTGACACTTGATAGTCTGTGGAACAATCAGTTTCTTTAGGTTTAGCTGCCAATTAACTTCTAACAGCCATACTATTAACAAGTACTATTAAACAGCAGTCTAACATAACCCTGTGAAAAAACAGGGATAATGTGTTTCTGCTGAGTGCATATCATTTTACATAGAAAACCCCTTCAACTCTTCCCATCTGTGAAAGAATAAAATAGCAATAGCATGCAATTCAAACCATCTACATTAATCTGATTTCTGACACATATCAAAAGTAATAATAGATGAAGACTTGAAAGATGTTACCTTTTGGTGTCCACCTCTGTCAGACTCACAGTAAAAAGAGCTACTTACTGTAAATTCATCTTTGATAAAAAAAAATAAAAAACCCCAACTTTTCAAATTTGGGGAGTTTAGGAAAATGACAGTTCGGCAACTCCAAAGTTTTCCTTGTTACATCTATCCTTCTGTTACTAACACCCACCACACACCCCCTTCCCTTCATCTCCCCACCTTCCCCAGCCCCAAGCACCATACAATCAAGCAACTGTAGACTATTTCTCTCCTACAATAACTCCTGATAGTTCTAACATTTTGGTGAAGCCTGCAAGTAAAATCAAAGCTCTTGTAAACTTATTCTCCAGGTGACATACTGCTTTTAAAAATACACGAGATGATGAAACAGCCAATCACACCTTTGATAATCAAGTTAGCACAAGTAGCATCTGCTCCTGTTGTAAGCATGTGTTTTACTTATTCATTCTATCAACACCAGAACTACTAGACCATGATTCTAAAGAATCAGTAACAGATCAATTTAAGCTGGAAGTTTCACAGCCCAAGGGAAGCCTTAACACTGCAGCATCTCCTTCGACAGGATCCAAACTAGCTAGGTTGAACAGCCACATCATCTGAATGTAGGAACTAACAAAATCTCTAACTGCCCTAAGAGTCCTCTCCTCATCTGATGATCTTTCTTAATCTAAATTCTCCCCAATGTACCAATGCTGACAAAGAATTTCAAAGTTAGGTAGGACAAAGAATCCGAGGAATTACTTTTCAGTATCAATCAATACATAGCACTTCGAGGTATATATGCCTTTTAGGAGTACTTTACAAGTTGAATTAACTTGTAGACCCTATGTTATATGAACAAATACATGTATGTATACATCTGTCTTAGCTTGCTGTTGCACTGGTGCAAAGCAGCCTGATATACTCCCTAAGGAAAAAAAGCATAAGTCATAGGAAAGTTTTAGACAAAGACATGTAGACTTACTAAACAAAGTAAAAGCTATTAGTAACAGACAATAAAGGATGTGCTGGAATGCCTAAGTCTGTAAACACAAGATTTAAAATTATACATCACAACCCATCCCCATATTCATTTTGATCAGATAAAGGTTTTGATTTTTTTAAAAAGCTTTTCAGCCCAATATGCAACTTCAAAGCAAGCCAAATATACCATGCACAAGACATGCCACATGATTTTACAAGCTTTATTTGCAATTATACTTTTCTGCTAAACAGCCTCTTTTTGGAGCTTGTATTATTTAAAGGCATTCTTTTGGTACGCAGCTTTACTTTAATTCTGCAAAAACCAGTTAATGCCCTTTAAAAAACAAAAAACACCCAAACAAACAACACCCCCCCCCCCAAAAAAAAACACACACACACAAAAAAAACCCACAATAAACAGACAGCATTTTCTCCACAGAACCATCTAGAGAAGGTGATTAGCAGGAATTGCAGATTTTAATACCACAAAGGGTTTTCCTAAATTGTGCCACAAGAAACAAACTGAAACACACATAGATCAAGTCTACAAGGGACCTGAAATCGTTCTATAGGGCAGTACTGAGCATGGTGCTAGCAAGTAAACTTGGAGAAGAAAGAGTTCCTTCACACTGCTTCCTACTTAAATACAAATCAGTTTCAAAACACACACAGAATTTAAGATCCTCCTTGACAGCTTCTTGTATCAGACACTAGGAAAGCTCTCACAGCCTCACCATGGATCAGGTGCTACAGTAAGTCTCAACACTGCAAGTGATACCCCCTAGTCATTCACAGCCTGATAGGAGACTCTGACCGGGCACATGCTACAAGATGAACGCACAATTTAAAGGGAAAAGCAAGAGCTCTGTGTTAGCTGCAACTCAGACAAGCAAATCAAAGTATGTCATGTTTTCAGTACAGTATTCTAAGCACTATGACCAACCATGAGAACAAAACTCACCAAAACCTCCAACATTGTAATGCCTATTAACTTACACAGCCATTTTTCCAGTCTTTTTGTATCTCTTGCACTAAAAAGGACTTCAGCAACATTTACTACATCAGAACTCAACTGATTTTTGCAACTGGAACTTGGATACTAATACCAGTCTGTAGAATTGCTCTATTCTGTAATTGGTTCTGAAAGTTTTACCTGTCTCTGTCTAGAGGCCAAGATAAACTAATGGAACAAAACACAATTGAAAAAAAAAAAAAAAAACATATAGGAACACCAGTTCCTATTACTTCTGCACTTTGATACAAAGACTACAGTATACTTCAGTGTAACTTACACAGCAGTATTGAGGCAGCTTTATGCACATGCAACTATTCAGCTAGTAGTATTATTACTACATGTGTTTCTCTTACAATAACATCAATAGCTTTAGTAATGCTAGTAAATCCATATTTGGAGCTGGCAGAGGGAGGAAAAGAGGGAATAAAGAAGATTATTCTCAGAGCTATCTCACACCATTAAATGCCTCAAGTACAAGAAGCTTCCAACTTCTTCCCAGCTACAACTGAGCTACATGTAAGTTACTTTGAGAACTTATGTAGAAAAGTCTTTACCTTCTGTGAAGTAACACTGAAGTTGAGAGGATTCTCCAGAACAGTGCATAAATGAAAGAATGATGACATTTGATTGCATTGCAGTTCAGTTTGGGGTGTGTTTGGGTTTGTTTTTTTTTTTAATGATGCTAACAGTATCCCTGAAGGAGGTCAACTGAAATTATTTCATGTAACTAGAAGAGAAAGATATTTCATGTTAAAACACATAGCAAAGTGGGGTGAAAAATAATTTAAAGTGAAAAGGAAGTTCCTTAAGCATTGAAAAGTAAATGAAGACTAGCTTTTCCCCCCATCCAACTTAAAGGCCTAACACAGGCTAAAGGATTAAGGTGAAGTACTATTACTATAGTGCAAGTATGATGAATATTCCTCCCACCAAATGTTGACATGAACTGCTTTGGCCTTACTATCAAATTTTACTTTTTCTTTAAACATGGATGACTTCAGCAGCACAAAATGACACCTCTGATACATCAGTAATTTCTGCTTTTCAGCAATGAATTCATTTTGATAAGGAAAATGCACACACATTAAAATCATTTTTATTTTTCTGCATTTTGACACCAGAAGTGAATGTCTTACGTTACAATTTTCTATAGGATGGACACAAGTTTAGCTATTTGGATTACTAAAAAGGCAGATTAAAAGGAAAAAGAGACATTAATCTTAACAGAAATAAACCCCCAAAACTATTGCTTTGCTACAAATTACCATGTCTGTCCCAAAGTTCACAGAAAGTAAAGCTTCCCCATAGCTATAGCCTATGCAATAATTGTACCTAGAGTAAAAAGATAGTGACTATTAACTAATGTTCTCAGCTTTTTATAAGTAGCACTTCAAGAATTAGTATGATTTATTGCGATTTTGTACCAAGCAGTAAGACTGAACATCTGTATGCTGCAGATTTAAGCACACCAAAATGTATACATTCACTTTGAAAAATTGTTGCTTATCACTCTTCATTGGTAGTAGTGAAGTCAGCTGCCTGCTCAACTAAGTTACACAATATAGAGTGTTTCAGCATGCTTCCACTGAGAAAAATATTCAACTGCATGAAAGTAGTAAATCTCACCTTAGAAGATGAAACTGTAGCAGAAAATGCAGCAATGCCCTCTTCATACAAGAATAAAACTTCATATGGAATTTTCACACTTTGAGAATACTTCTCTACATGAATATTCAAAGATAATCACAAAGCTGTGTTGGAAAGACCTCGCTTTTTAAAAAAAAAAATAAAAAAAAAATTAAAAAGACAACCACTGCTAACGTCAAAATTTAGACTACTTCAGATAACAACTCTGACCCAAAAAAGTATTTTAGTAGCAAATTATATTGATGTGAATTTTATTTTCCACGCATATTACTAATAAATAAGTTCCTCTAAGACATCTCTTGCCAATTAGATTTGTATTCAGCTCCTGCAACACTGTAAGCACTAAAACGAAGTGATACATTTAAATGAAGTTACACTTAAACGGAGTTACTAATATGATACTAAGACTTTTACAGAAATACAAACAGGTTTACAGTTACATTTACTAAAAAGTTACAGTAATCTACAGAAAAGGTTGTCATACTCTCCCTACATCCTAAGAGATCAAATTCAGTTACATGGTTACTGAAAAAAATGCACACAAAAATGCATTTCCCTTTATCACCTGGGTTAAAATCCTCCTCCACAATAATCTATATAGAGACAGAAGTACAACTTCTTTTCTGTACAAAGAAAAAGGTTTAAAAACACAGCTTCACATTTTACTACATTTTTGCCCTTCTCAGCTTCCAAGTTCTTGCAAAAACAAATATACATTTTCTCAAAAATGAATTTAAAGGATGTCCACATTAAAAAAATAAAGCCTACAAAAGTTCAAAGATTTAAAAAAATGTTACTCCTATGGCAGTGATCTCCTACTAGTCCAAATCCAGAAAGTGACTGATGTCCATTTAGTATTATCTTTCTTCCTTTATCCAATTTATCATGTTCCAATCACATTATTTGTAAGAAGTCCTTGAGCCGATGAGAGGGCAGAAGAGTTCTCTACAATTAAAAATAGGAGATCAAATCAGGTGTGCCTTTCAGAAAGATACTCACTTGGCACCACCCTGAAAGATAATATTTGAATACTTAGAGAAAGGATTTCCTTGATTAGTTTCCATTGACTGGTAAACCGAAAACAAGAAGAGCGAAATGACAACAAAGAGAAGAACTTTTATCCACAGGGGAATGGAGTGTTCTTTTTTTGTTGGTGGTTTCTCCAACTTGGTGTCAGTTGAGGTACCGTATTTTGGAGCATACTTAGAGAAGCATTCCTCCATTCTGAAGTCACTGTGCTCTATAGGCCGGCTAGCAGCTCCTTTGATGGGTTTACGGCAGCTAGCACTGTTAATTAAAAAAAAAAAAAAAAAAAAAAAACAAAACAACAAACAAACAAAAAAAAAACAACAAAACAACAAACAAAAAAAACCCCATAAAATATCACGTATTTCAAAGAGCAATCTAAGGTACACACAGAAGTTTTATTATAATGAAAGAACTAAAGATTATTCCTAGTGAATGCAGTACCTGAAACATCTGTTGCAAACTCTAACGTGTCTATCATTACTATGATGAACACTGAATGACTACCCTAGTTGAAATGACACTGTCCACATAATCAATGGATCATAACTGGTAATAAAACTCTAGGAAGTGTGCCTCTCCTTTTACATCTTTAGTGATCACTTATGCAGCCCCACTGGGATTTCTAAATCCAAGATTGTCTTGGCCTTTAAAATATGTATTTGATGGCTAAGCCAACACACACAGAGTCAGAAGACAAAGCAGTAAGAGTTAAGAACCCCACCTACATTGCCAAGTCACAGAATACTTAGGGTTGGAAAGGACCTTAAGATCATCTAGTTCCAACCTCCCCTGCCATGGGCAGGGATGCCTCACCCTACATACATGGAATACAATGCACAATTTTTATTAAGTGGTATAGGTTTAACAAGACTGACAGACCTCAAAACAAGAGAGCAAAGCTAAGTGATGAGAGGATATACCACAGCAGTAGTAGCTGTTACCATGTGTTCTCCTTATGGTAAGACTTTATACAATTGCAGTTTAAATTGAAGTTACAACTAATGTATTGGAAACAGAAGTTGATTTCACATCTTAACATAGGGAAATTTTCTCATTCTCTAACAGGACAAAGTTTGCTGAATTGCTTAATTATCCAGAAGGTTGTTTTATTTTTTGTTTAAATATGAAATTGCAAAGAAAAATGTAATAGCCCTTCCTATATGCCATCCTTATTCATGCTAAGATTAATCTTTGACTAGAACAGGACTGCTACTTAGAGGAAGAAATAGGGTATCTCAAAATTCTTTTTGGCTTTCAAAAAGAAAGCTCAAATGTATGCTGGGAAATCATTCTTTCATTTAACTGCAGGCCTAAAGCAGTTGTATATAAGAGCTTAAATATTGCAAAGTACACAGAGAAGCCCTTTCCATCTAATTTGCAGCATCCAGAAGTTCCAGTAACAATTCCTACTATAATACTACCCTGTTCTCCCACCTCCAATTTAAATAAAGAAAAGGCTGTTTTGCCTAACAAAACTATGTATATAGAATAGAAGAGCTGGTCATCTCAGCTGCTGCTGAGACAGTGCAAAAACTGTTCCTCAGAAACCTACCAGTATAATCAGAAGATACTTATCAGCTTAAATAGGATTACGAAACTGAGAAACAAGCTCCACATAAACCTTAGAAATACCTAATTCCTGTAGGTGTTGATACTTCATAAGGGAACATTTCCTTGAGAATATCCCTTTCTACTCTTCGTTCTTCTGTATGAGTTTTCTCCAGCACCTAGGAAATCAAAAGCAATTATAAGCCTAATAAGACTGCAAAACAAAAAGCTCCTGCATAGCTATCTCAGTGACCACAACCATGTGCAATTTTTAAGACTGAGTCACCCAGTGGCATTCAAGAAATTTACTTCTTGGGTTCTAGAAGGTAGTTTAACCTTTGATAGTGGCAGCTGTCTGGTCACTTTTGGTGTCTTAAAGCATTCAGTCCTCTCCTCAGTTTCCTTTAAGATAAAAAATATGCTGTATAAATACAATACACCTGCCAGCCAAGGATGCAGATGATCAAAAAAACTTAACCATCACCTCTATCATGGCTGTGTTGAGCAGATCACAGGATTGGTTGTGGCCAACATGATTAAAAAAGTACTGATGTAGGCAATCTGTCTCTTCTTGCTGTAATAAACAATGCCACAGTACAGTAAAAATCTAACTGAAGAAAAAAATCACCACAAACTTTAAGCTTTAAATAGAACATCCACTTTTCCCCACAAGCTTCTATTTCACAACTAAGCCTACATTCCAGTTATACTACAAATAAAACAGCCCATTCCATAAATTTCAGATCCATTGAGAACAGGCTTCACAAGTGCTAACACAAGTTTTATCTACAGTAGTAACTACATGAAGCAATGAACTCAATTTAACTTCAGCCAAACATTATCTTGTAATGTAAAAGTACACATTATTACAGTACGTTAATACAATTACATATACTTGCAAGTGCTTTAGACAGTCCTCCAAGAATATAATTTTGACAGCTTGACTAGGTTAACTGTAAAAGAATTATTTTCTTTCTTGATAACTGATAGGAATCTACAGATACTTTTTGAAGTCAGGCTTTTGATCTAAAGTAATCCTACTATTTGAGACCCTAAACTAAAGCACATGGTGGCTTTTCAGGATAGGCTGATTTACAAGATCAAAAGTAGATAACCCAATACTGTTTTACCTTTAACCTACTCAAAGAATTTGAGGGGGGGAATAAATCTACAGTTTGATCAAAAAAATAGCAGCACAAGGAGAAATAACACACCAGAACATATTTGGCTTAGGGGAAGGAGAAAAAAAAAAAAATTAAAAAGCAGCATTTACACACACACACACACACCCCCCCGCCCAAATCTGAAAGAGGAAGATAACAGAGAGAATATACACTTATTTTTATGCCATGTGACAACACTGTTTTGACTAGTACCACCTGGACAATGACATCTTCTACCCCTTCTGTACTAAGAAGCACAAACACACAAGAATCTTGTTCACAGAGAGTAAGCGAGAGCAATCTAAGTTTTAATTTATTTACTTCAGCTGTCATCAATGGTTTCTTTGGTGTTCTTCTGGGCATGTCTGAGAGTTCACTGATTGACAGCGTAGAAGCTGCGTGCTTGTAATTTCCAGTCACCCTACTGCCAACCTGCCAAGATTCAAAATTGTTCAAACTCAGAATCAGCCAAAATACAAAATAAAAGAGGGAGGGAAAGGTGGCAGAACCAACCAACAAAACCTTTATGTGCATTGAATATATGCATGTTAGCAGTTAACTCGAGAAGGTTATGTAACATACTTTGAAATAAGCACAGGAAACACATTGCTTATCATCCCAAGTAGTTTCTTTTCAGCCATTTAGAGACGTTAAAGCTTTTTAGTTCACAAGAAAAGCCAAATTTAAAAGCTGATATTCTGCATGTACTTAAAAGATCCAGGCTTTGAAAGTGGCTCTTCTCAACCCTCCCCACAAAAAGACATTAGATGGGACCTAGATGTTTACCCAGTCCCATCCTCAAAGTGAACAGCATAGGTACTAATACAGACACTGAGTATGGTTTCAAAGACTACTGAATAGTCTTACTTCCCTTGAAACAGTATCTGTTCAAAACAGAGTGATTCTATCAGTAAAGATACATTACAGAAGAATACCACTTGCATGATTTATTGAACATATTTACTAAGCATATTTACTAGGGTCTCGTTGCTTGCAGTCAATATAGTTTCAGCTATGGGAGTACTCTCTGATATTACAGCATCATCTACAGGCAACTGTGCTGTAGCTTCCACCTGTTTGTTTAAAACAAACAAAAGAAAACAATTGAATAAAATAGCCACCGGGACCCTAAAAGTGGAAGAAAAAAAAAAAATCTTGTCTATTATAAAAAGCCTATCATCACCCTTTTCCTTGGTGTTGTTCTTGACACTCTTGTAGACTCCCTAGAAAATGCCTGCAGAGGTCCACTTTTTGAAGATCCACTTGTCCAGACAGTCTCAGTAACTCCATCTTGAGAATAGGTCTATTCAAGCATCAAACACATGATCAAATACATGAAAGCCAGCTCTCAACATTGGATACCCACAACCAAAAGCCAGAATAGCATGCATACTCCAGAAGCAGTGTCTACAATCCAAAAATTAGTATCTGGATTCTAATACAGTCAGTAATTATCATCTACCTACACTAGTAGTATTGACCACAATACTTACACTAGAGCACATACAGAACTGACTAGATAATGCCTGACAGTAAAGCTAATGCTACAAGTAACATGGTGTCCATGACACCAAGTCATGGACACCATGTTATGCTAGCTTTAAGGCCCACTGCATTACCTGCCTGCACAAGAAAAAATTAATCTATGAGCATAAGCAGAAAGCATCACCATGTTCTCTACTCACATAGGAGTCTACTCTCTCAAGCAGAGGTGGGAATGGTCTAGGCACAGCCACCCACATATCAATTTTCATGTAACAGTAGGTTTAAACAATCAAGCCTGACACAGATCTTTACAGATCTAAGTAACAGCATGAAGTGCCAAACTTTTATAGCCATTAAGGAACACAGATCACTCCCTGTGCCTTAATGCAAGTTTAATGCTTAAAGGGGAATTTAAAAAAAAAAAAAAAAAAAAAAAAAAAAAAAAATCAATCTTCCTCAAAACAAATTCCAAGCATAGACCTGGAGGGAAAGGGAGAAAAGAGCCTGCTGCTTCTAAATTATAAACAAGATTTCCCTTTGTATTTGGTTAAGTTTAAAAATAATAATTAAAAAAAATTACTTTGCTCATACTAAAATATTTGCCCATTAGCACCTCATGCATTGATGTATTACCAAGTTTTTGGAAGTTACACCCAGCGATGATGGAAGTTATACAGACTGGTGCAACTGTCAATTACAGTTCTAACAGCAGTTATCACTGAAACAATACTAGCCCCGAAATAAAAGACTTAAGAGCAGGCTGAAAATGATTTATTGAGGAGAAAAAGCCAAAAAAAACTCCACAACAATAAAACAACACAAAACCAACAAAACAAAAGTTAACATCTTTCATCCATTCCCCATTTGTATCTTCAGAGTTACTCCAGTGAAACTAGAAGCTGAGCAGCTTTACGACTCCTAAGTTCTGTACTACAGCTGCTACATATCCAGCAGAGGGAGCACAAGTGTTTCACTCTTACTCCAGTCACTAAAATACTTTGAAAACCAAATGATCAAGTCCAGACAGATTCAGATGTTTCATACAGAATTGAAGATTTCAGCCTAAGTCTCCAATACTCTTCTCAATTTAAACAGGATCTTCCAACCCCTCTTTATACAGTCACCAGACACTGGCTTCACTTCCCTATTAAGAAAAGCTTAACCTGCAGACTTCAATCATGGCTACCCACCTCACCCCCATACACCTCCTATTTGAGAAGCATTCTTCTTCAAAAGCCTAAAGAAAAACATTAATTTCAGAGTAGTTCCACTCACACACATTCCAATTAAGAAAGCAGTACAGCAATTCCCTCACACTTCTAATGGAGAGCTCCCCTGGCCCAGGCTGTCTGACTAGAAACTAGTTTTCTTCTAGCGGAAGTTGGAAGCACTTCAGTAAATAAATGCCTCTCCTCAGTTCTTCAGATTGTTCTCAGTTTACCTCTGTGATCACAGCAGCTGCAATGCTGCTTATTTTTATGAAGCCCAGATATAGAGAAAGTAAAATTACTTAACGTTTATGTTACTTAGCCTGCCTCTTTCTGTCCAGTGCACTTTCTATGAGGCCTTAGGCTCAGCTTTGAACTCTAAATCTATGCTCATCTACCCAATTGGAAGTGAGGGTTCAAACAAGAGTTTTCTTTCAACTTTTTCAGTTCACTATGAGGATGCAATTAAACACAAACAGCCAAGCTCAAATCAATCTAACCCTCCACTGTTAACTAAGTGGTAGGACCCATAAGCCTGCTAACCTCCTCACCCAATTTATTTTGCACCAGCTGCCTTAAGGACTACGTATCTACACTCATTTCTCAAGAGACAGCAACATCCACCCATGCCAAATGACAATCTTTTCAGGTCTGTACATCCAGACTATGACTAGTGCTGCAGAGGACCTAGAAGCAGCAACAAAAGTCTCCTCACACACTACACACCAACTCAGCCCCACTGCTCTTCAGAGCCTCAATATTTGAGCCAACGCCACAAGTACCATGACTGCTGCATATAATTCTGCAGAATAAGTATGGTCACTTGACACAATCTCAGAAGAAGAGGAGAAAACAAGAAAAGAAAAAAAAAAAAAATCTTCCTCATCTTCTACTTTCATTCTGAACATATGACTACACATTTGCTAACAAAAAGCATTAGTTGTTCATGGCTTCAAACAGATGTAAATCTTTGTTGATTGTTTTTATCTTGTTGCTGTTTTTTTGTTTGGTCTGTTGAAAGGTAAACAGTTTAACAAGCTACAGTTAAGAGTTCCTGAAGAATTTGGCATAATTGTGAAATTAGATTTATATTTTTTTACTAATCAAATGATATTCCTTTTATTAACTACTGGTAATTAAAATATTGTATCTATATTGCACATATAATATATTGCACAGTAATAACCTCATGTTATTACAGTGAAATAAGATGACAAGAACTTGAGTAGGAACCCATCATTTGAAAATGCCACAAAAATATATCACTGTTTCTTCCTTTTTATTCTATAAGTGGGTTCCTAAAGGCTAGGAAGCTTTGTTTGTTAATAGCTGAATTAAATACCTCTGTTACACTGAGGCTGGCAGGGACTTCCGGGTGAAGAGAGATTTAGAAAAGAGTAATCCTTAAAATACAATACTCAGATGCCCATTATAAAGACCATCACGAGCAGAAATTGCCTGAATAAATTAGGAATATTTTGTGTGCTGAACTGTGTGCTTTGATTTGTAGAACTGAGATCTGTTCAGCTTGTACCCTAAGAATTCAATTAAAAATAATGACAACTAGTTACAGATCTCTCTAACTGTGCTGTATTACCCAAGCTCACACTGCAACGTGTTACCTGCTTTAAGAGACATCCACAGCAAATGCATGCTTATACATACAAAAACAGTATCTAAAAAGGAAGTATCTGGTATTTACAATAAAGTAGTGAGGAAAGTTACTGATCTCCTAAAATACCAAGCTATTACCAGGCAAGATTTTGAGTCACTGAATATTTTTTATACAAGTCCTTTACTGTAGCACAACTCCAGATTAATAACACCGTAAAGATCCTAGGTAACCTAAGCTAGGGAACAGGGTATTTAGTGACACTGTCACATCAGTCACCAACTATCAAATCCAGCATTCAGCCAACATCTTGAAAACCTGAGGTGCTTCTGTGAAATTCCTCTTTCATCACAACAGAACTAGTATTATTCATAAGTAAAGGACAGTTGGTACATACAGCGAGATTTAAACTTGTTGTTTATTACTATTCTTCTTAGGAGAAGCTTTCCAACAAATTAATGTCTATACTAGTACTGCTGCCACAAGCTGAGGAAAAAAAACATAGCTAATGCATGTGTGTACACACATACACATGCTTCTGTATATAAGCATATACAGAAGTACACTACTTCATGTATTAGAATCATTAAACAGATATATTTAAAATGCATACATATATGTATAGGTATCAAACCAGATGGATATAAATGATGTATGTACATGCATTTTAAAACATTTCTTAACAAACAAACAAAAACCTCACCAAACAAAAAACATACACAACACCCAAAACAAAACAGAAAAACACCACCTCCACCCACAAACTAACCTTTTTCTAAACTTTTCTTTTTGCATGTTAAGGTTGCCTATTATTTTTCCTCCAAGAGGTTTGTCTGATTGGCCAGCTATGGTAGCATGGCTTTTAGCAGAACATAATTTGGAATGTTATCAGACAGGCTAAATCCAGCAGCTAAAGTTAATTCACAAGATTTTCATGCTGCGTTAGAACAGGCTTTCTGGAAGAACTGTTAAAAAACAGCAGAGCCCACATAGTCAAATATGATTATGTTAAAAGCAACAAGGTGTTTAATGAGCACATCACCTGCAGTTAAGTAGGTGTTCCAGATGCCACTAAATTAAACATACCTGGTTGTGTTCAACAACTCTTCTTTGTTTGAGTGCTACTGGAGTCTTTGTCCTGGCTTTCAATGGTTCTCTCTTCTCAAGCCTCAGTTCAGTCTTCGGATCTGTAATCGGTTTTAATTTAACTAGTTTCTATAATACTACTAGTTGTTGTACTAGTTTAAACCAATTCTATTTTAATAAAATTCATTTTAAGAGGCAACATAACACTGTTATGAATTACCACTTCTCTAAAAAGTTTGAGAAACAGATCAGTTTCTCCACTGAATGTAGAAGAGACATTTGAAGAATAACCTTAAAAATATTTTAAAACACTGACCCAAGTATTTCAGTTTTGTCCTAAAATCCTACATTTCAGATATGCTTTGACCAACCCAGCAGTTCCATTTACGAACTGCAAATACTTTAACCAAAATACCATTATACCATTAAATGGAGTAAGGGTATTGTAGTTTTTCAACATCATTTAGGCTGGTAGTTTAATTTCCTTTAAAACAGGTCATTTTATATAAAACTAATTTTTGATGCAGAAGGGCAAGTGGTTAGCAGTCATCTTACCAGTAACAGGATGTATTATTACCAGCCCTTTCTAAAATTCTAATATACCAACATATTTAGAGTCTATTTATAGAAAAGTTCTATTTATTTTTGACAGGGGGGAGTGTTTGGTTTTGGGTGGGGGTTTTTTGTGTCTGTGCCCTGTTCCCCCCACCCCCCTCCCAGTGTTTGAACAACTTGGTAATTAGATAAAGCATGTGTAAGTATAAGGAGAAGGCTGTCAGCTGTGACTGGGCTCTTGGCTGTGCTAAAAATAAGTAAATATGTAAGTCTTTAACATCTCTCCCCCCTTTGAAAGAGCAAGAGCTTTAAGTTCAAAACCAAGCCCAAATATAAAAGGGAAATCCATTGAGTTCCTAGTTGTATTTCAACCCCTTCTGTCCTATCTCCATAGAAGTTCTGTAGAAACAACAAAAAACCCAACGCGCCCAAAAACAAACCACACAAAATAAGCACCTTCTAACATTCCATTCAAGACGCTCTTTAAAACCTACGCTGTTTTTATATAAGTAGTGTGATGTGTGGTTTAAATTCCATTTCCCCCACCCCATACCTTTTTGATATAAACTTAGTATTAAAACCACAAAAAACACATCCAAGACCAATCAACCAACTCACCCCAAACTAAGCCCATAATGAACAGAGCATAAAAAGGATTGAGTCATACATGACAGACATTAAACCAAGAAAGTACAGAAGTTTAAAAAACATTCATACACTATCCAATAGCAAATAACTACTGTAAGCACCTTAAGACAAAACTGCACTTGAAGATGAAGTGCAAAGGACACTGGAACACTTAATATGCAGTTCTCCTAGCAAAAGTTTCCTATCCCAGAACACCTAGGCACCTAGATCACTGTGCTAGTACTGCATGATGAATTACATGACTCACATGGTCTACAGCAGTAAGCCTCACCTAACAGCAAGGTCATGCCCTCTTTAGATACTTCTACTGCAAGTATTACTGATGTATATTTGAATAGTTCACATGCATTCCACTTAAATCTTACCTTCTTCATTGTCACTGTACTGGTCAGAATCATTATTGCCATTCTGCCTGGTGTTCTCTGTAGCGGAAGAAATCGCTGGGACAGGCACAGGTGCCTTTGGTTCTGGGCCTTGCTCCATCAGTTTCAACAGTTTTTTCTCATAAAGTTTCCTAGTAGTAGCTATAAACAAGGAAGGATACATGCTAAAGATAGTTTTCATCTTTCCTGACTTGACTGCTAGAACTTGGCTGTTATATATTCCTTTGGGATCTCTGAATGCATGGGGGTTTGTATTTTTCATCAGTCTGTATGGCCCAAAGCATATATATGGGAAGGCATGCAGAAACAGCTAACAAAGTATTATGCATAACACTTCAAATACACACAGGATTCCAGGCTCCATCACTGTCATTTACATTCACCCAGGATCCCAAGAACATCCACAGAAAACTCAGCATGCTACAGCAGCTTCTTCTTAAAAAAAAAAAAAGAAGGAGAAAAAGGAGTTGAAGTCCCTTGCCATTAAACTAGAGAGCAATCTGAAAGGCAAGGAGCTTTGATCCCACATCACAGATGAATGCCCAAGGCAAGAGATTAAGCTGGGATAGGAACTTCTGATGTATGTTATCATGCAAGATAGAATGCTAGGTTCGAGGAGCCGGGGGGGGTGGGGGGAGATAAATAAAAAATAAATAAAAAAATAGCAGAAGGAAACATTACTGCACAATGCAGTGAGTAGGAAATGCTCTAGGGATGGGTAAGTTCCACACTCTCGTTCTGCTCTCAATGCTATTAGGTTATTATGTAAGATTTAGTTTCATTTTAGCAGGCCCCAGATCTCCACCTCTGTTATCAGAAAACCTAATTACCCCAATGCTGAACTTTAACTAATAGTTACACAGCTTTGGAACAGAAGTTGGAACATCTCCAGCTGGCCTAGAACACAAGAGGAATAAACTGTGGACTTGCCTACAGTGAAATGCCTCAAGTCTTCTCAGTGTAAATAATCCAATGAAAACACCTAAAGTGGAAAGTAGGACTGCAACAGTATTGGTACTAAACTTAAGTAGCTGTTATCAGATAAGCTTAGAACACACACAACTGAGGTTTATTGGGAAATATGTTGAAGAGATGTGTTTGCTAGTACCATTTGACCTACCTACAATTGGGCCAGGATTTAGTCCATACTTCACAAGTTGCTCTTGAAGATCTTCATTGCTCATCTCTGTTATGTCTAGATCATCCTTCTCATCTGGCCTGGGTTTGTCAGTTTTCTTTGTGGCCTTCTATGAATGTGCAAGGAAGAAACAAAAGACACTGTTTCCAGCTAATACAGGACACATAGTTTTCTTCTAAGGACACAGGAAGATATGAAAGTCCTAAATATACAAAACCAGAAAAAGTAATTATATTCTCCACCACCAAAGGCTACGTGAAATACTTCAAACATTTACACTTACTAAACAAACATGCACAAGTTTCCTACTTCTATAAGGACATACCTATTACAAGCCTCCCCTATGGAAAAAAACCAAACAAACAAAAAAAAAAAAAACCAACACACCAAAAAACCCCCACAACCCACAGAAAACCACCAAAACAAGAAAGAACACCCAAACACAACACATAAACCCTTACTTATTATTCTGATCCTGCATTTTAGTTTGAAGTTCAAGTATGCAACAGTAGAAGATTTCTTTCCTATGACTGGAGAGGCAAGCTTCTAGCTGTATCACCATCACAACACTAAGATACAAGTACTTATGTTCCATTGGCATTTCTTCACATTCTTCTACCTCACAGATCAACACTTCTTCCAATGGCATGGAAAAAGTAACTACACCCTCTCAACCAAGTTCCTAAAATCCTCATTCCCACTTATCCTGGTATTCTCTGTCAGATTACATGATGGTTACAAAGGAAGTGCAGGAAAGTCAAAACCAGAAACACCCTCAAATTTTCAAAATCCTGTCTGCATAGGCCTCTGCTACTGTAGTTCTAACAGATCCTAAAGCCAACTCTGGCAACACACCACCATCACATACAGAGGGTTATCAAAATAATCTGTCAAGATGCTACTCCTAAATTAGCAGCTTCCACTATATCTGAACAGAGTGTTCATTGCATTTTTTCAACTAGGGAAGCCTTTGTTCCTACCATAGGTATCTGAAGCTCAAAGATCTGCATGAGAGTGAGAAAGTAAGAAAAAAAATATGCTTAGGATCTACTTGCTCTCAGCTAAGAACAGTCTTGATACTGCTTTGAAATAAATCATATTTTTGTCTCAAAGTAATAGGACATAAACAGATATGACTTCTTCACTTTATATTTTTCTCAACTTGGTGGTTGCCCAGAGGACCTATCTGTATTTTCTGGTACTTACCAAAGAGCAGAATTCCAGATGCAATTATGGTATAAGTCACAATTAACAGGGTTTTGTTGTATTCAGTAAGAAAGCACTGAAAGATTGTAAAATGACTGACACGAGTCACCAGTACTTGCTAGCCATTGATGCCAGTTCAATATTGGTTTGCAATATTGTTCTTGCCTCACGTATCTTGGTATTTTAAAGCTAGACAGGGTCTATGAGAGAATTTCCCAAATATTAACTGACTTCTTAAATTAAATTTTCCTCCAATTCCCAGATTGTGAAAAATCTCAGCATTATGAACTAAAATCAACTGCTGAAAAGCAACATTCTCCAAAAGCTCATGCTGTTTCTTAATTCTAAGAAATAGACTCCAAGTAGTCTGAAGAAAGAGACAGTGTCACTAAAGTAGCATATTTGACTAATGACAGATTTATAACACATTCTATTATCACATAACAATCTAATTTTTGAAGCAACTAAGCCTACTTGTGTAGTACACAAGAAAACAATGAACTTGGAGCTACGAGACTTGTATTTACTTTTGAATGTCAGTCATAAGGGTATCATAAGTTAAGTATCACATTAACAAGAACTTAATATCCGCTGCATTTTTTTTCCTGGACTACTCAAACTGTCCAAACAGTGCAAAAGAATCCCAAAACAAATAATGGATTTTCTCATTGGGATCTGTTTAGACAACTTGAACCAATCACCAAGAAGATAACTAAGATGCTACTTCCATACTTCAGAAGAAAACTACCACCATGTAGCAGTAAATCACCATTCCAATGACACTTCAAAGAAACTGGAAACCTAATTTAATGTATCTCTACCTTTGTATCACTCTAGAGGCCACAGAAGAAACTATAATATACACCAGAGAAAGTACTCAGCATTGTACCAGACATTTTACAGAAATCTTAACTACCAGAAAATCTAACTCCAACTAATGAGTAATACATAAGTAAACGTAAGTAACATGTACATAAGTACATAAGTAAACTCACATCTCTCACAGTATCTTTGGTGCTTCATTTTTTTCTTCCAAGATGAATTTCACTTTTTCCTTCAGCATTACCACACATTGAGACTATCAGAATAGTTAGTTTCAGCAGAGAAAAAGGGCAGGGAGGGGATGAAAGTTGAAGATAATCTGTGTTCTTCAATCATATGACCAGATAAATCAACTACTTTCGTCTTGTGCAAGGACTTCAACATTTAATTTGAGTAACTATTCTCCTTAAAGCAGAAACAAATTACTTCAATTGTACGAGCAGAAAGCTGCCATTGTAACCACTCACTGTACCATAAGATTAAGTTCCTAGAAGTCTAAGGCAGAAGAATTTCTCTCATGCTTTGGTTGTGGTATGACAGCATTAACCTCACGTCAGCTTTAATTACCACTACTACTGTGGTAGTAGTGGTACTTTCTGTTCATCATCACAACTTATTCATGAGACTACCTTGTGAGACAGATTATAAGAACTATCTTTAAAATTTACCATTGCAAATAAAAAGGCAAGGAAAAACAAAACAAAACAAACAAAAAACCAAAACAACCACCACAAAAAAAAACGCACAACCAACCTCCCAAAAAAAACCCAAACAAAAACCCCCACAAACCAAACACCCCCGAAAACCCCCAAAAAGCAAACCACACCACCAACACATCGACTTTTTCCTGGTGTGGTGACCACTACTGAAATTAAAGTTGTCTTATTGTGTTTCAGAGGTAAAGTGCTTAAAATGAAATTGTAGCAACTACCAGGCTTTGCCAAAGCAAGGCAGGGCAGCTGACCACTTTATGTGTAACTATTCTTGCAACACTATGCCCAGATCAATAAATCCTCATCTGAAGATCTTCTAATTCCAACCAGAGCTAGAAACATTAAAACAAAACAAAAAACTATTTCTAATCATTGCCATCTTCTAAAAAACAGAAGACGGAAGAGAAGCTGCATAATTCACTTGAGAGAAATTTGTCCACATCAAAGAGATACTACAACCAAATTTCCATCTTTCAGGCTCAGTTCCAGGTTAACTAGGACCCAACCCTTCAAACAAGTACTGAAGCAAGTTATAAGCGTAGGGCTTCCAGACAGTATTCTCAGTTCTAGGGCCACAGGAAAACAAGCACATAAGAGAAGTTCGTCTTGCCAGTGTCATACCTCAACAGCAAAAAGCTTTCACCTTCTTACACTAATGAAAGGAGCAGAAAACGCAAGCAATGAGAATTTGGACTTGGAAGCTATCCCATACATCATCTTTTGTATTCCTGCT